GGAAACGGCGAAGCCGGCCTTGCTCTTATTAACGGGGACGGGGAGAACACACCGCCGACCATCCCGCAGTGTGAGTGCTCCATGCAGGAAGTGCTGTTTACCCAACGCTCGGTGCGCAGAGCACTCCTCTCCCTGGACATCAAAAAGTCGAGTGGGCCTGATGGCGTCCCTCCTATTGTGCTGAAGACGTGTGCTTCGGAGTCGGCACTGGTCCTAACGAGACTTTTTCGGTACTCCTACTCCCTAGGCATAATCCAGAATCATATCTCCTCAGTTTCAAGGCACTCCCCTTGTTGCCTCAGCCAGTATCGGCGTCCTCGGCGTTGACATGTCGAGTGACGTGCAGTTTCGTGGTCACTTTGGCCTTGTGGCCAAATTGGGCTCTAAAAAGCTTGGTGTGTTCAGCAGAGTGGGACAGTATTTCATGCCGACTTACCGCCTGCAACTTTACTAAGCGCAGGTTCGGGCGCACACGGAATATTGTTCCCATCTCTGGGCCGGGGCTCCCCAGTGTCATCTCCTTCCTTCGATTGCATTCAGCGCAAAGCAGTTCGAATCGTCGGCGACCGAGCTCTTTCTGATCAGCTTGACTCACTGGCACTGCGAAGAGTTGTTCCATCTCTTTGCGTATTTTATTGCATCTACCACGGGGAGTGATCTGAGGAATTATTCGGACTAATTTGACCATCTGGATGACTGGCGGTCCACCACTAAGCGATTTAAAAGAAATTTTCTTTTTTGCACAACTTTTTTGAATTATTACTACCACTAAAGAAATTTTCGGAACGATACGACCTCAAGAAAAGAGCTTACTCCTTTCAAAAAGGCCGGTAATACATTTGCAATCCCCCTGGTGTTGCAGCTGTTCATGGGCGCTGGTAATCACTTACCATCAGGTGAGCCGTATGCTCGTTTACCCCCTCTCCTATAAAAATATATCTGCCATAGAAAAGTATCCATTTCCCAAATGCACTAAAAAATTAAACAGTTTTAGGCCTTATAAGTTATTATCGGAAGTTCATACCAGACTTTGCTCGAATTACTAAACCTTTGACGCAATGTCTAAAAAAGGGAATAAAAATTACTCTTGACAAAGACTACATTAACTGCTGCGAAAAGTGCAAGACTCTCTTGAACAACGATTCTATTCTTCAGTATCCTGACTTCAATAAATAATTCATCCTAGCCGCTGACGCATCCAATGTAGCGAGAGGAGCCAGGGAACCATAGGATCAGAAAAACCTGTATGTTACACTTCTAGAACTCTAAATGATAATTTATACAATTTTCCATCAATATGTTATTTATTGTATTATAGTTCTTATTATTAGGTAAATTAATATTATTTTTTTTAAATTAAGACGCGAAGCGTCTGTAAGTCCAACGCGTAACACTCGTGCTTGCATTGTTTTGAGAAGATTTGAGATTCCGTATGTAGAGTATATGCAGTATATGCAGCTGTCGTTAGTCTAGTGGTCGCAAACGCAGTTGTATATTATGAAGTCGTCTGTTCGAATCCAGCGTCGAGTCAAAATCAATTTTACTGGGTTTTTCTGATTAATGATTCTCAGTAGCATCCCGGAAGCAGGATTTCTCACCGGTAGTGTTGGATAACCGTCCCATCGGACTATGAGAATGAAAAAAAAGAGAATGCACAGGCTTGCGCATACATTTGGACATTACAATCCTGTCCTGCGCAGATGGCTAGATTTCGCTGAGACTTGTGACCGTGAATGGAATTCGGTCTGGAGGACATTTTTAGTTTATGCTGCCAGGTTGATGGTGGTTAACAATAATAAATGGAAAGGTTAAATAAAACATGGCTCTTCTTAATAAATAACTATATTAATTCAATACGTGTTTTCAAGTTTACGTAGGTAACTTGAGGTATCGGATAGGTAGGTATATAAACTAGCGAATTAACTACTGATATATATGTACGTATACATATAACGTGTTAAGTCACACAACTTGTCAAAGTTATACAATCTAAAGTCGTCCTTGGCTCTATCAATTGGGGTCTAGATATACATGTCTGTATTATTGACAAGTTATGTCACTAGCAATAATAATAGGGAGTATAATATGTGATTGATTATTCACCTTATATGTACTCTTATGAATAATCTATGTTTTATATTTCTCCGGACATATCACGATGTCACCTTAATTCAACTTTATTTTATGATCTGCCGGTTCAGTAGAGTTGACTTTCTTCAATCATTAGCGGCAAAAGAAAACTATAAAAATGTATAAGAAATATCATTTCAATTTTTTTTAATGTTAATGATCATACAAAGTCATTATAGGGTACCCCGCAGTTGTTATAATCTAAACTATTAGCGAAATAATCTTTATTGCTAAGTTTAAATATTTAGAAAAATATTGTTTAGGGAGGAATCCATTGTAAGTTAAGACAAGAGAAATTACCATATTTTCTTCAGTAAGAGTCAACAAAAATAGCACAAATACTTAACTAAACGGTAGAAGTCCTTTTCCACACTGTAAGTGCTCCGGGTTTCTACCTATTTCCTTGTTACCTATTTCTGCCACCAGATCAGGTGAAGGGTATATAGGATACCTGTATAATTACAAGCTCTGAGGTATCTCATCTTAGCCCTCAGAGGTGACAACGCATCTATAGCCTCTTATTTGTTTGAAGTTTTCCAACCATCAAATGGACTGTAAGTTTGTTTGTCACTCTCAGTTTTATAACAGAAAAACCGACACCCAATTTCTATCGATTGCTGAATGGTAAACCTTATTGATATAACTAATTATAATTTATGAGAAAAATAGTGACGAAAGTGACAGCGATAAAAGAAGGAAGACACTAAACATATATTTGATTATTAAAAAAAAAACTTTAATATTTTTAAGTCTGTTAGTCAATTATGACACTTATCTCTGAAACAATAAAGAATACAAATAAGAGTACACACGAGGCTGCATCTATTTCTATACGTAGCTTATTGCACATTTTTATCCCACGCCACTCTAATCTTACACACAATATACACACTAAAATCACACAAAATTCAAACGATTAGAAGATGTTAAATTATGTAACACTGAACGGCTATTTTACGTAAAATAATAACACTTAAATATAACTTAAATATTATACTAAGTAAGATAATTAATTATATTTATACTTATCAAAAATAAATGACATTGAATGCAAAACATTTAAAGGTACTTTTTATTAGAAAATAATGATAACTGTAATAATATAAAATCAGTTTACATGCGAAATTATTAGAAGAAATTTCTGCACTAATGACGTCAAATGATTCCACTTTTTGTCCCGCAAACTTGAGAGAAGTCAATGAAAACTACGCAAACATTGTTATAGATAATTGGCGACAAAACGTCTTAAATAAGTACTCAGGAGAATTTAAATTATTCGGACTCGCAACGGGAGCAGCATCAAAGGTATCTGTGATTGCCAATCTGCCTGTCACTGACAATCCTTTTAAAAATGGGGCTTAATGTTAGTTGCCTTTTGCGGGCTGATTATAAAGAAAAAATTGTCAAAGTTATCCGTTTTACTATTTAGCTAAAAACACTTAAAATATATCTTAATGCAGATGTGCATCGATAGCGATTCCTATTTTCATGAATAATATAAAAAATACGTATAGAAATAACACAAGGGAAGTCATATTTTAAAAGGACTTTTGTAAAAAACGATTTTACACACTATTTACTACTACTGAATTTGCGATCGTTGTTTATTTTAATTACCCCACATTTATACAACTTTACATTACTGATTTTATATAATCTTTATGTCAGTATAATATAATACAATGGTTACTTGTGACTAGAATATAAATAAAGCAAATATTATAAAACGTAATTTTAATCACACGATAAATTATCCTTAAATTCAGTCTTATGTGTACTAACATAAATAATAAAATATGAGCATTGGAAATCCTGTTATTCAAACTAGGGCTTTAGATAAAATTATATAAACCAAGAAAGTACAAAATTTAATGAACGAAATGTTGTTATGCCATGAACTTTAAAAAAAATGTTAATGAAAATTGTTATTTTAATTCTAAAATTGCGATTGTTTAACGCTTCGTGATTGCATTCATTTGACAAAGTTTGGTTTTGTTATATTGTATAAATATAAAAAAATAATGATTTAAAAGCCAATGCTTTACTTAAATTAATTAATTTTATAACGTAATGTTTTAATAATTTTATAACGTAATTGTGGAATGCTTCCCACGATGGTTGTACAATCGCAATGTTATTTAAAGTTTTAGATTCAGATTGCGAATGAATCTAATTCAAATTAAACATCAAATTTATATTTAATAATATGAGTCATAAATATGTACAACCTTCAAGATATATAAATATATCTTACGTAATGATTTTATAGAAAATAAGATTTAATAAATAATCAAAATACATTTTATTTTCAAAACAAATAAACTAATAGGACTTGAAGCATATGCAAAACCATAACGCCTTCGCTGATCTCAGATCGTATTCACAGGCTCTCTCATCTCTAATTTTATTTTTCAATTCATTTATTTTCTTATGGATGGATTCTGCAGATTGAGATCTAACGGTAAAAATTTGCTTGATAAATAAAACACTGACACCCTACTCATATTGTATACATATTATAAACTAATGATTTTACACCCAAAAACTGAATCACCATTTAGCAATAAATGAGTAGCGAAACAATATCTTATAATTTATAAAAAAAATAAAAGTGTATAAAACTAAAACTCCATAAAAATACTAAAGGACATAAAATATTTTCTAAATAGTTACTTCGAATATAAAACTTTTTAATTAAGTGTTCATATAGTAATTAATTTACAAAATTTTACAGAAACGTTTGACTAGTTTGAGGCTCGTGGTTTTGTAGGAGGTCATATTTACCCCTAAATCATAACTTCATCTTTTTAACATCATCAAAAGTTATTCACATATAAGCGAAAGCCTTCTCAGAAATATCTGCTTAAAATTTATGGTATGTTGCTGTAGTTTGTTAGATCTTTTCCATTTTTAAACATTGAAGTCAAAATTGGATCGCGATTGTGGTATTCTTTTCCAGAACGCGGTCTTAACGTGCTCATTGGCTGACGACTTAATCTGAAAAAATAAATTTGATTCGATTAGTTAATAGTTCTTCAATTTCATATATTATTTTAGTACCTGTAAATAATTTTAAATTATTATGTTTTAATCGATGTCCCAATAGATAGGATTGTAACTTTTGAGCAAAAACTTTGTAAAGTAGCAAGATATGAAGCATTAGTTGATGGTGCTACTCAAGTGTATTGAAGGATTTCATATGTTACTATTAATATTAAAATAGCAACAAACAATTTCAATGGCGCTGTTGGATTACAAATTAGGTTGCTCGAGTATTTTAAAATTCCAAAGATTTCCAGGTAATTCTATTTTATTATCACAAATAAAGTTCAAATAAAATTAAAGAGGAGAGGGAGAACATGAATGAGGCCATTAATATGCGTTAATCCATTAACGGGTTACGTCCACATGTTTTTATCACCTTTTTTGAAATTATTCCATATCTTTCGTATTTTGAAGGCTAAGGGTAAAAGAAACAGAAACAGATTTTTTTATTCAATATAGATTATAAATAATACTTATTGAAAGCGCCACTTTTATTGAATTCACCACCACAAAATACTATATTATCACCTCACCTCATGCCTGTTGGTGTATCGGAAGATGAATGTGATGACGTCAAAGAGAGGGTTTCTATATAATCGGACATGTCAGATGTACCACTGGATGTGCTGTGTGTATCCATTACACCTGTAATATATTAGATATGGATAAAATAGATATTAAGAATAATAAGAGCGATACTAAAATATTTTTGATAATGATATATTAATTGCCTTAGTTTGTGTCTATTTACATTTATTTAATACAATTTTAAGTTACAAAAGTCATGAAATTATATTTATTACGGGTAAGTTTCGGGTTTATGTTTAGCGAGTTTATTTTTAGCTTAATTATTATAACAAAATATTAAACCTTTAAATTGCTTTGGAAGTAGAACGGGAACTTCGGCCTCAGCAGATGATGATTTAGCAGGAACTGAAGTTTTATGTAGTTGCAGTGAAACATCTCTTAAAAGGTCCGACGATTTTGATTTTCTTGGTAATGATGAATGCAGGCATCCTATAAGATTACCTCTCATTTTCTTGTGAACCATGTAATGGTATCTGGAATTAATAGAAGTCATCGGCATTTCAAATTCTTGGAACTCTCCACCACCATGCTTTAATGAGCAACTAGATACTCCAGAATCATTTGAACTAGAAGAGTCTCTATTTCCACCAGACTTGCAAGGAACGCTTGAAGATCTCTTAATTTGAGCATTGTCCATGTGTTTATTACGTAAATGTGGTATTTCCTTGCTGAAACTTCCTTCGGAAGTTTTATTTTCTGAGCCAGAGGACTTACAACAATCATAGTATTCCCTTTCATTATCACATGGAGTTAGCCGACCTTCAATAGCCATGTTTCTTAATGTTTCCATGGAAGAAGAAGTAGCGTGACTTCCAATGCTGCTATCAAATTCTTTTAAGTCTTCTAATAATCTAGCCGAATCAACAGAAGCTGAACGTTTTTGCATGGCTTCTCTATTATTGCTATTGAGCTTATTTTCAACATTATGATCTGTGTTAGCACTTCCACTTAAAACTGGTATGCTCATTGATTTTTCTATTTCTATCTTGTGTAATTTATGTATTGGATGTTTCAAGCTTTGCGACCAGTTCGGATTTGGTGACATAGGCGTATATCCAGGATTCATCTCCCTAGGTGTCTCTAATTTAACTTCTGCTGCTGGTTCCATAAGTAAATATTCATCACTTTTATTTTTTTGTATTTGTTTGTCATGAGGTAAAGTGTGGACACATTTAGTACAAGGCCGAGATTTCTTTGGCTGCGACGTGACGGCAATATCAATATTAGCACTTAATGCATCTAATTCACTTTGTGTCACTCCCGCTTTCTTTAATAAATCTTTGGCATTTTCATAAAACTCTAAAGAAAGTGCAAATTCAAGATTTTCATAGTTAGCATAAGGCCCTTCAAATCGTTTGTCTTCCTTAGGTTCTACATTTTGATAATTAATCAACTCTGCATCATTAGAAGAATTTGGTGTAGTTTCTTTATCGGTCACTGTACTTTGTCTATTTGTTTTGCGTGACACGTCAATTGTGGCATATATAGCCATTTCTTCTGATTTGTTACTTCCAGCTATTTCGGCATTTATTCGTTCCTTACTAGAGCTTCTTTTACAGTAAGGGAGACTTATTAAATTATTTGCCCAGTTAGTTACTTTAACACAAGGACATTCTGCAGGTTGTAAGTTTTCGTCGCATTCAACGATCAGTGGCTTCTTTTTAGAACCGAATTTCAAAATACAACCACACTTTTTCTTTAAGACTAATGTGCCAGGTGAAGATTTGTCTGTAATTTGAAAAAGTTCTTCGGCTAGAGCTTGCTTTAATCTTTTCGGTGTATCGTAATACTGAGCATTATCAACCTAAAAATATAATATTATATAAGTTTAATGTGACATTCTTCTTTTGAAATAATATTGTGTTTCATATCTCATCATCTACACAGACATTAAAAAAAACTGTTTCCATATTGTAATAAAATTTATTTTACGACATAAATTTCAAAACAGTATGTATACTCAAGCCAATGAAGGTTTTTAAAGAATGAACAAAATAAAAAATAGTGTATTACGAATTAAAATTTACTAATAAAATTATTATCATTTACCTCAGCATGAGTAACTTTAGGAACATCATAATTTTCATAAGGACCAACTTTCATATTATTTATGGTATAATTATCATTAGCAATACAAGAACAGCTCTGAAATGGCAAAGGAGCGGGTGGCTTTTTCTGATCTAAGTGGGGTGGTTTAGGTGGCCTTTGAGGTGGTCGATCATGACATTGACATGATTCAAGATTTTTTCTCATAGTTTTAGGAGTTAAATATTCTGTACTATTTGATGAATTATCGGAACTGCTCTCCGGAACGGATTCCATGGTCCAAGCAGGATTAAATTGGCGGCTATTTGGAGATATTGCAACTGTTGAGGTACGGGTCATTACACCGAGCTTTGATAAACAATTATTGCATCTCTCTAAAGTGACGTGATCTGCGCCAGTCCATGGTGGTTCTGCATTGATTTCAGTTTCAGCTCTATATTCGTGATTATTTAAATCTCTTCTCTCAACAGATGGCCAAAACTGCGAAGGTTCTCCACAATCTTCGCCAAAAAAATTTTCCTCGTACAAGCCACAGGCAGATTCTGGCATTGATTGATCGCCATTGTTTTGATCTGAGAGTCGAGAGTTTGATCGTGTCTTATTACCACGCTCGGCACCTGAAATTAAAGTTAAAACAATTTAAAAGTTAAAGTAAAGTCTAACTACTGGGCACAGGCTTCTATTCAATTTTGAGAACGTTTTAGGGCAATAGTCCACCCCGTTTCTCCAATGCATGTTATAAAACTTCTGATAATAATAATAATAATAAATATTTTTTTCAAAACAATGGGTACATTATATTATATTAGTGACCGTAGCGCCCTTTTAAGCTAATAAGCGTGTATCAGGGAACAACGCTCTTCCATTAATTTATGTCGTTTTTAGAACTTGTAACCAAGTTTTGGATTTACATGATTTTCGAAGTAGCACGTTGAAATTATAAGAATAAAAATAGTTATACTAGTATAGTTCTAATATATAACTAATTTTAAAAGTGTCTATTTACAGTTAATAGGTTAGTGTGTGTGTGTGTGTGTGTGTGTGTGTGTGTGTGTGTGTGTGTGTGCGTGTGCGTGTGCGTGTGCGTGTGCGTGTGCGTGTGCGTGTGCGTGTGCGTGTGCGTGTGCGTGTGCGTGTGCGTGTGCGTTAGCGTGTGGGTGTGCGTGTGCGTGTGCGTGTGCGTGTGCGTGTGCGTGTGCGTGTGCGAGTGCGTGTGCGTGTGCGTGTGCGTGTGCGTGTGCGTGTGCGTGTGCGTGTGCGTGTGCGTGTGCGTGTGCGTGTGCGTGTGCGTGTGATGTGCGTGTGCGTGTGCGTGTGCGTGTGCGTGTGCGTGTGCGTGTGCGTGTGCGTGTGCGTGTGCGTGTGCGTGTGCGTGTCCGTGTGCGTGTGCGTGTGCGTGTGCGTGTGCGTGTGCGTGTGCGCGTGCGTGTGCGTGTGCGTGTGCGTGTGCGTGTGCGTGTGCGTGTGCGCGTGCGTGCGCGTGTGCGTGCGCGTGCGCGTGCGCGTGTGTGTACGTGTGTGCGTGTGTGTGTGTGTGTGCGCGTGTGTGTGTGTGTGTGTGTGTTTGTGTGTGTGTTTGTGTGTGTGTTTGTGTGTGTGTGTGTGTGTCTGTGTGTGTGTGTGTGTGTGTGTGTGTGTGTGTGTTTGTATGTGTGTGTGTGTGTGTGTGTTTGTGTGTGTGTGTGTATGTGTGTGTGTGTGTGTGTGTGTGTGTGTGTGTGTGTGTGTGTGTGTGTGTGTGTGTGTGTGTGTGTTACTATTTAATTTTAACTAATAATGTCTCTAGATCATCATAGGTATTATCCTTCAAGCATGACTGTAAGCACCTCTTACAGTCGCGATATGTTTTAGTATATAAGTTTAAGATTTTATTTTTATCATTTTGTAGAGGTAGGCCGAAGGAGCCTTGCATTATCTTGAAGCAAAAACAGAATTGCATTTGAGGGTTTCCAGCTTATGGCTTCTACTTGCAGCCAGATGTCTTTGATATATTTTTTTCTTATTTCTCAAAAATGCATTTCCTCAAAATGTCGTAACTGCCGAACACGTGGTCAAAGTTAACTCTTATTGAAATATTTCAATGATTATAACATTTTAAATTTTTATAAATAAACACAAATTTGTAGGTAAATTAAATAGTTCTAGGTATTATTAAGGCACTTATATACATTATTTACATTAATGCATTTTTTAGAAATAAAAAACAAAAAATTTGTTAAGTCTGTTATTAATATAAAATATTATGGTATTAAATTAAGAAGCTTTTTACCGGTTCTGGAAGCTGGTGGGCGTTGAAGAGAAAGATTTCCTTGTGCAGCTCGATCGAATGCATCGGTGATGTCTTGAGCCTGATCGGTTATAAGTAAATGTAAGCCTTCTCCTTTCCCACAGTATGAACCTCCTTCAAAACAAAAACGTCCTTCCGCTACTCCGTACCGTCTGAAAAAAAAATTTCATTATGTAGTTATCTAGGATATATTAATATATTAAAGTTTATATTTATTTATCAATCTTTAATTTGCATAATTCTGCAATATTTACTGTGTATATTATATTTATGCTGTAAACTGTCCTGATAAAAACATAAAATAAAGAAACACCACGGTTACCAAGCCGCCTGCCAAGCGCGCCAATTTTTATGACAATATCGTTCCTATGAAGTAATTTATAAAAAATCCCTGTGTTTAGCAGTGGACTTTGTACGAATGATGAATTTTTATGAAAAATGAATTTGTTGTTGTAATCACTCGTTATTAAATGGCAGATTGTCAGGCATGCAAAGGAACTTGTTATTTGAGGGAATTGATCGATTTTATAAGGCTTATCGTATCAAAATAAAGATTGTGCCCTAAATAAATCATTATTTCTCGTTCTCTATCTCTCTTCTCTCTACCTGTTTATATACCAGACGTTATGCATTTATGACGTTATTGTCTGGTTATTTAAAGTCCATCGTAAACGAGATAGTCATACCGCCATCTAAAGTAAGCCAAATTAAGGTCTCTAACATTTTCCATAGCCACCTATAATGACACCCTCGGGACGAAATTAGGTGATGAATTGTTTTATGTTGCAACCACACGTTTTGTGAAAAAAATAATTATTGTGTATATCGCCTTAAATTACATAATTATTACAACTATAAAAGATTTTATGATTCCTATTTTATTTACCTTAAATGTGCAATCTCCCACAGTCCTAAAAGACGGGGCGGTACACCACTCGTGAGAGCAAATCTCCTGTCTTGAAGATGCAAACGTGCTGGACCAGCTGGCAGCTTGCGAGAGCCTCCTGCTCCAATCATCACCAGGAATTCTTTCGAAGACCCCAGCTGACCGCCCACTTTCACTTGCCAAGCAATAAGTCTTTCTCGGGTTTCAAATGCCAGAACAACAGTAACATCTTGACAAATGATAGCTATTGTATTTGATTCCTTGTCTAGTGTGAATCCGGACTCGAATCCTAAGAAGTGCTGCAGTGAAAGTGAGGCCTTGGTCTGGCCTTTCTTGTATCGGTCTTTGGGATCTCTGTACAGTTGGAGGTGAAGGCAATCTGTAACAGAAAAGTATTAAGTTAATTATTTATAAATAAATGTAATACAAAAAAAAATTCTGTTATTCCTTTAGTAGTTAAATATGATATTAATACCACAAAAATTATATGTAACTTATTAAATAATTACAGCTGTATCTAACATCTTGCTGGTCTTATATATATGTATATTGATTTTACCCCCATTCTCTGTTGAACTTCACAGCGTTGTAAAAAAATATCCTATATCCTTTTCAATATTGATTAGGACTTGTTCAATTGGAGCAATTCAACAAATTATAAACATATATAAGTTGGGTATCGACTAATCTAAAAACTTATCCGTCAAGTAAGTAAAGTATCTTGTTAAGTCAATATTTGAATGTAACCTCGATTTAAATTTCATTAGAATCTCTACAGCGGTTTGAGCGAGATTTAATGGTTTATAAAAATACGAGTATCTTTCAAATTCGATATAAAATACATAGACCGGCAACAGGCAACAGTAGGTCCAAGAGTCTCTCTAGTACGGCAAATCTTCCTTGAACGGGATATGACTATGTCAAGAGTTTGACATTTACGGTTTTCAAAAAAATTTATAATGTATTTGTAATTTTAATAGCTGGGAGACATTGCTGAGGTCACTAAGCACGTCAATATGAGTGCTGCGGTCCTTCTAACGATTCTCGTTATTATAGAATAACAAATGAGCACATAGTACACCTGATGGTAAGTGGACCCTCGATTAAGAATCAGAATTCAGATACGATGTCACTCCTGAGAACTAGGATAGAACGCCTCGTTTCTAGTAAAAAGGGTTCCAGGATCTCTAACCTATCATACGAAACACAACGGCAATGAGCTGTTATTTTACGCTGGTATTCTTTAAGAGCGTAGTCCTTCCCCGCTCGAGCTGTCCCATACGCGTTGCAACCACAGTCCTTTGGTATCTTTATTATATTTATTTTAAAAAATTATAAAATTCTCCTTTTGCATGATTATAAGCAGAGTAAGTTAGAGCAATTTTATGTTGTAACTTTATAACGAATTCTCTTTAATGTACTTTTGCTTTGTAAATAAATTTCTTAATTAGCCTTGATCAGTCGACTAAAAAAGCTAAGCGACGCTATATACAAAAGAATTTTCATTTAAAAAAAAAACGACGTCTTTGTTACCGCAACTCGTCGGACCTCGTTAAATTCTCAATCCTCAAACGCGGGAAAATAGCTCATTCCGATAATTAAGAACGTTCGGATGGCAAAGGATTTGACGAACTCGGCCCCAATTACTGACTAGGAGTAGTTCAATTAGAGAAATTCAACAGAGTAAAAACAAAAAAAAAAAACAGAGTAAAAATAAATTGGATGTCGACTAATACGAAAACTTGGTATTAATGTGAAACTCAAAAAGTCAACGAAAAATCTACACTTATGAAAAAAATTTATGTAGCATTCTATTAAGACATAAATGACCATTTTTATTAATGTAAAAAATTTAATAAACTTTTGTCTGTCTGTCCTAGCTTATCTTCGAAACGGCCGAACTGATTGTGGCAAAAACTGTACGAAGAGGCAATAACAATGCCGGGAGTGATCTTAGCAATATAAATATTTTAAAATCTTAATAATTTACTTGCTTATATCCGCGTAATAAAATAAAATGATGTGTACCGAGTCTGCGTAGCACCTTCCGTCCTCCGTCAATTGCGTGCTCTATCCTCGTCTCCACTAATCCCAGCATTACCATTCTCAACACCGCCACATTAGGAAAGACACTATTGTTGATAATACGACAAGTGATTCGCCGCTATACGAGGTATTCAGGTGAAGTAAACTGCGTTAACAAACCGCTAAGATTTTATTCATAGCGGTCAGCTACCTTAAATTCCAAGCAAATAAATTTTTATTATTTTTTTTTTTTTTTTTTTTTTTTTTTTTTTTTTAAGATCTTTAATATAGTGGATTACCGCATAGTATCGTGTGATTCAATTAACTATCTATAATATTTTAATTAAAAAATAAACGATTTCTTTGTGGAAATGGAAAAACTGATAACATAAATAGTCTATGATATTTATCTTAAATCTAAATGACGGTACATCAATAGATCGTACCCAGCCGATGGTGGTAGAGCCACGCTGCAGCTATATTAATATAATAATACATATACGAATAAACAAAGTTTTCACAAGCATTTCTTTGTTCACCAAATAGGGCCGTTTTTTTAATTCGGCGACGAATCGGCGTAATAATTCGACATAGTACTGCCCTGTGACCGATTTGCCCTTCTCCAGCTAGTCAGTATATATCACACCAACAATACAAAGCGTCTTCTAATTGCCAATTTACTCGCGGACATAGGCCTTATGTCCGGGACGGGGGTTTGTTATCGCCTAATAGTAGATCGTCTTATCTCAAGCGGTGTGAAGGGACGATTAGTGAGGTGTGGGAGGGGGAGGCTAGCTGCATTTGTGCGCGCGGTCGGTCACCCCTAAAGTTGGGCGTTATAACATACAACAGATAATATATTTCATTATATATTTTTAATCTTACGACACATTAGAATAATGAACCATTGACTGTTATAATATTATATTCATTATCGTTAGAAAGCGTCATCTGTTTACGTTTACGGTCCAACCGTCGCGTCGGCCGAGACAATGGGAGTCAATAAAATACTACCTACATTCATTATGCCACAAGGATTGCGTATAGCTTACACTAATTTAAACTTTAAGCTAACTTAATAAGAGCTTATTTTACTAACACAAACGCGAAGCCGGGTTGTTCATATATTGAAAGTCTCCTTGTTTTGTCTTAGACTTATGTTAATAGAGCGTGCCATTTGAACTTAAAGACAATTAAATGGACAATAAATAATAAGTGACAAATCTTGCCGTGGAGCGTGGAACTGAGTAGTTGCGCGTCTTGTTAATATAATTGCCGTACGGCCGCCCTGACGTATGTACTGCGCGAACATGAGTTTTTTGAGACGCGGTCCGGTGATACAGTATTTTTCACAAATAGTGAGTTCGTTATAACGCGGGTTCGGTTAAATCTGGTTGAATTTGATTGGATTAACCTAAGTAACTTGTATTAATATCAAAGAAAAAGAAATACTGCATAAATAAAATAAATAAATAATTATAATTGCATAAGTTGATACAAAATGCTATGCAATAGCTTTACCGCGGCAGTCTCCGAGTGCCACACGTCTTTTTTTATAATTATTAATTAATTACAGCCTATCAAAAATCCACTGCTCAACAGGAGCCCATAGGTTACCTCAAAAATGTTTACTTTATATGAATACCCTTACTTAGTCTGAGTCTGTACTTACTCTAAAAGCGCCGCAATTATATATACCGTTACCGTTACAGCCTATTGAAGTCCAATGCTATACATAGGCCTGTCCCATAGACTGCCTCATAGCAGGGATACAGCCTATTTCTTTAATTACCACTATTTCCTGTAATTACCACGCTTGGCAAATGGGTTGGCAACCGCAGCTTTTCATTATTAGTCAGTATTATTTACAAAGACGCTGCTCCTGATTTGATTCCCTCTGTCACCTTTTACGACATCCAAAGTATGATATGGGGTAGTGGATATTGTCGAAAATACTTAATAAAATTTAAGAGTCTATCTGTTATATCTAAATAATTGCATTTTATTGAGCTAAGGAGGTTACAAGCATGCTATTAAAATATGAATAATTATTTTTAAAATTTATAAGTCTCCTTAACCTTGTAAAGTAACACAGCTGGGGAAAGGCTTTATCCCATATCTCAGCAGCGCTGTTAACTCTTCGTAAACCCTATTCCTAATCGCCTGTGCTTGAGAAGTAAAAATGTTCATTCCTTTTTTTCTATTTTAGCGGTGCACTTCTGTTAAGTGGTTAGTTTGACGTTGAAAAGACGATTTAGCTCCCTGCTTCTTTTAACCTAAAAGTCACGTACCGCTGCACGATAGTCGTAAATCAAGTTAAATCTAACTGAAACTCGACAGCAAACCGAAAGCATTAGAGAATGTTGTTGTAAAACATTATTCATTTTGATACGCATTGAAATTCGTTTTAGAGAAGATTGAGAATTCAAAAACGCAAATTCCTAATTAAGTTATGTATATTTTGTAAACTATTTTCCTCATTAGTCCAGTCTACAGATTGACATCAGTCTCTATCATTGGTTAACGACGTAGATACATGAATGGATTGGTTCGACCGGGGTAGGAGCAATAGCCTGAAGCAGCAGAATAGCACTATTGTGTTTCGTATGGTGAGTTAAAAGAACGAGATACCCGTTTTACTAGTAAAAAAGCATTCCTGCTTAGTCCTTAAGGGTGACAAGGCATCTGCACCTTGACCATTATTTGATGATAGATGTAGATATATATGGTCCGCAGCATTCACTAACCGTCATGTGGACTGTGTGCTCCAATGTTTCCATAAACATGAATTCGTCGTTGCTACGCTTGATCGGCATCATTACGGCCTATCAGTTGTCTACTTCTATTGATAAGTCTATCCCATAGATTGGCTCATATTTACAATAGCTGCCCCAATTTTTTATAGGATAAGGTGACAAACGAGCACACAGTCCACCTGATGGTAAATGGTTGCTGCGGCCCGTAGACATCTTCATCTACAAATCAAAATGCAGATGCGTTGTTACCCGCGAGAACTAAAATGGAATGCCTCGTTTCCAGTAAAAAGGATCTTCAGTCCTTTACACTCAACATACGAAACACAGCAGCATTATGCTACTATATTACGCTGGTATTCTGTGAGAGCGTCCCCGGTCGAGCCGACCCATTCGTGCTACAACTATACTACTAATATAACTGCAGCATGGCTCTACCACGTATAAAAGGTAGGTTGACAACAGAATTTTTTTATTGTGTTGTGAGTTATGATTAGAAGGCAATTCTTGTACAAGTATATATTATGTATTATTAAATAAAGACTTAGAAAATTAAAAATTGTGGTATTAGTATGATGATGTAAAGAAGACGAGCAAGTGTGTCAAAATCGTGCCAAATGGAAGTCGGTAGTCTCTGCTTTCTCTCTGGGTGACCGTTTTAGTTATTCTTTCATCATAATTCATCATCATTACAACCCTTTACAAGTCCACTGCTGAATATAGGCCTCCCCCAAGGTATGCCACAAAGCACGGTCCTGAGCCAGCTGCATCCATCGACTTCCTGCATGTCTTACCAGGTCGTCCTTCGTCTAGATGATGAGAACCTTTTTTCCCCAACGGTTGTCGGTTCTTCGAGCTATACGGCCGACCCATTGCCACTTCAGCGTACTAATCGTTGGGCTATGTCGGTCACTCTGGTTCTACTGCGGATATCCTCATTTCTAAGTTTATAACGCAGAGAAACTCCGAGCATAGCCCTCTCCATAGCTCGCTGAGCGACTTTGAGCGTCCTCATACGGCCAGCAGTGAAGAACCACGTCTCAGTTCCATATGTCATCACTGGTAACACGCACTGGTTGCACAACTTAGTTTTCAGGTTTTGAGGTATACCCGACGAGAAGATGTGTCGTAATTTCCCGAACGCCGTCCAGCCGAGTTGAATCCGTCGATAGACCTCTCGGTCGAAGTTGGACTTACCTAGTCGGACTATTTTCCGCAAACGCACTCGTCAACAACTTCGAGCATAGTGCTCCCAACAACTACCGGCATAGGTGTGACATGGACATTAAACATGATCTTTGTTTTGTCCATGTTCATCTTAAGACCTATCCGTTGGGAGACATCATTGAGGTCATTGAGCATAGTGCTTAAGTCCTCCAGCGATTCCGCCATAAGGACCATATCGTCGGCAAATCGAAGGTGAGTGATATACTCGCCATTGATGTTAATACCGTATCCTTTCCAGTCAAGTAGTTTGAAAACGTTTCCCAACGCAGCGTTGAAGAGTTTCGGAGAAATAACGTCACCCTGTCTTACACCTCTCTGTAGTTGGATAGGTTTCGTACTCTGGTTCTGTACTCGGATAGCCATCGTAGCCCTACTGTACAAACACTTCAGCACTTCAATATACCGACAGTCAACTTGGCACCGCTGAAGAGACTGTAGCACCGCCCAAATTTCGACGGAATCAAAGGCTTTCTCATAGTCCACATACGCCAGGGCAAAGTGGCAGATTGTACTCTTCGGAGTTCTGTACAATTTGCCGAAGGGTATGTATGTGGCCCATGGTACTAAAGCCTTTTCGGAAACCGGCTTGTTCGGGAGGCTGGAAGTCGTCGCGTCTGCGTGCGAGACGATTCGTAATGACTCTCGAAAACAGTACGTAGACGCGGCTCAGAAGGGATATCGGTCTGCAGTTCTTCAAGAGGGCGTTGTCACCTTTCTTGAAGAACAAGACCACCGCGCTTCTGCCCCACGCCTCCGGAGTAGTGCCACCATGGAGGACGGAATTGAAGAGCCTCTGAAGGACTTCAAGTACCGGTTTTCCACCCGCTTACAGAAGCTCCGCTATAATTCCATCCTTACCCGGGGACTTGCCGTTTTTAAGGTGCTAGAGAGCCATTCTAATCTCGCTCAGACTGACGTCCGGGATATCATCGGCATATTGTTGACCCGCTCTTGGATCGTTACTTACACTTGCGCATGGCTCCAACGATGATGTGTACAGCTGCCCATTGAACCTCTCAATGTCACTCAGAATCTTAGGTATCCCGCAAACGATGCTGCCACACTCAGTCTTCAGCTTTGACAGTTGGCTCTTTCTGGTAGACAGATCTCTGGCAAAGACTTTGGGCCCTGGTTCCGCTCGATCGCTTCTTTAATACGAGCAGTATTAAAGTTTCGTAAGTCTTGCCGCATGCATTTGGAGATCTGTCTGTTCAGTTGCCTGTATGCTGTCAAATCTGTTGACGATTACAGCCTCATCTCCCGTATAACTGCCATGAGATTAAGAGTGTGATCGGAGAGTTTTTGTGTTCTTCTGCGGCGGGTCTTGCAGAACTTAGCTCCGACCACATGGATAGTTTCCACGAGCTTGTCATTCATATCGCCCACTGCATTGCAATCATCTAGGCACTGAAAGTGGTTACGTAACTCGAGCTGCAAGGTTTCGGAGATTCTGGATTAGAGCACGAGGGGGACGGAGCGTTGACTTCATTAGACGAGACCTCTCCAACTTAACGTTTAGGTTCAGTGTGCCTCTAACCATTCGGTGGTCGCTGCCAGTTTTCACCCTTGAGATCACTGAGACATCACTGAACAGTTGGCGTCTGGTCGTCATAATGAAGTCAATCTCATTTTTTGTCGACCCGTCGGGGCTCGACCAGGCACACTTCCTGAGGGGCCGCTTGTGGATGAAAGAGTTCATCATAAAGAGTCCTTCTTTCTCAATAAAGTTGGCCAGCTGCTGGCCCCTACGGTTCCGTTGCCCTACTCCAAATTTCCCTAACTTCAGTTCACTGCTTTCTCTTGTGCCTCGTTTTGCGTTGAAGTCTCACATCAACACCGTGTAGTGGATTTTGGAGGAATGCATGGCTCTAGAAATATCCTCATACATTTCCTCCACCTCCTCATCGGGATGTGCCGAGGTTGGTGCGTAAACCTGTATGACCTTCAGTGAATACCGTTTGGTGATTCTGAGTATCAGGTACGCGACCCTCGTCGACACATTCCCAAACTTTACAACGTTGTTGACGAGAGACTTGTGGACGATAAATATGACACCTCCTTGGGACAGATGGTCGCCCTCCCGGTGATAGAACAAGTTGCCGGACTCGAGGATTACCGTGTCCTCCCCCTCTTTTCGGACCTCGGATAACCCAATTATATGCCAGCGCACTTGTCTACCTCTTCTTCCAACTCCAGTATCTTCTCGTCAGTCCTCAGAGTGCGTGCGTTATATGTTGCCAGGTCGAGTCGTCGTAGGTGGCAACCGAACCTCCACCGGAGATTCTTAGCACCCCCTGCCACGGCGTTACCATGGTTGCCACCGTAGCCAGGAATAGCGGGGCCGCCAGGGACTGGGAACCGTTTGTTTGCGTCGTTACTCATGGGGGGATATTTGCCGTAGTTGCCACGCTTGGCGAGCGTGTTGGCAACCGCAGTTTTTTATTATATCATTGCTGTTATCAGGAAGATGCTGCTGCCCATCTCCTGCCCCTCTCCTCCTTCTGTCGCCTCTTACGACACCCACGGGAAGATATGGGGTAGTGGATATTCTCAACCGCCACTACACGGCATACTTACGAATTTCTGTGTGTATCAAAGATAAAAACAAAACATTTTTGACTAGCTCAAATACTACTATCTACTATATATATTGGTTGATACAACACCAGGTTTTACAGTACAAGCCGAAGCAGCTTGGGCGCTAAGCTTTGCACATGAGTAGCCTGGGTTCGATCCTCGCCAGCATTTAAATGTCGTATCATCGTCATTATTACTTTTCACAAGTTCACTGCGAAATACAGTTCTTCCCCAAGGGATGCCACAAAGCATGAGCTTATGGCAGCACCGACTTCCTGCATATCTTACCGTATACCTAAGAACTAAAGGTTGTCAATATATAGATGTAATAATAATATGTCAATATATATGCAGCACAACATAAACACCTGCTCCCTAATTATTATTTTCGGGAAGGTGAATACTAGTTGTCTGTATTATTAAAAATTTATTAAACCTTTAACAAATCCTTAATCTGCACTGCATATATTGCTTCCGCTAAAGAGAACCGCAAATCGGCACCACGGTACGGGATTGACGAAACGTATATTAATTAATTTCTGAGCTGAGCGCGCTTTGTAATTACTATCCGGTCTAATTAAACTTATTTTGCCTGAAGGCTATGCGTGTTGAATTTAACTAAAAAAGTCGCAA